GCTCCTACAAAAATGTATTATCCGAGACCTTCCCCTGTTGATATCCAACATGAAGAAGACATCCTAATGGCATCTGCCATGTATGATGGCAAAGCCATCGTGGAATGGAATTTAGATACTCTCAATGAATATCAGACTCTTACCTTGCTTAGACACATGATGATGTATGCCACAGCTAGCATTAATAATGGAAATCAAGACCTGGATGTGGCCAAAGCAAGTATAGTAGGATTTACAGGACAACTTAGAGGATGGTGGGATAATTATCTTACTGAGCCAGAAAAAAATTATATTGACTGCTAAGAAGCAATACACAAGAACTAGAGCAATACAACCTGACCAAATACAAACAGTTCAGGTTACTGAAGATGAGTTTGTGAATACTCTAATTTATACTATTGCCCTGCATTTTATAGGGAATACAAGTATACTAACTCAAAGACAGTCAGATCTCTTGCAAAACCTCAAATGTCCTACCCTTTCTCATTACAAATGGTATAAAGATACGTTTACGTCCAGACTCCTTACAGTTGAGGACTGTAAAGCTAGTTATTAGAAAGGACAATTCATTGCTGGACTTCCTAGATTATTTGCTGAAAAGGCTAAAAACAAGCTAAAAGCTAAAAATAATGGTGAACTGAATTATGACCTTTATACTCTAGGAGAATTGTCTGCTGAAGTATGTGCCACAAGCCTAGAAATATGTACAGACCTTAAACTCAAGAAACAATTAGAAAAACAAAACCTAACAAGAAAAAAAGAGTTAGGCGATTTCTGTGAACAATTTGATTTTGAATCTATAAAGATAAAACCGCATACAAGAAAAAATCTAAAAGATTTAGGAAAAATTTTCTAAAAAAAAAAAGACAGGTACTGATGAAGATAATAAAGAAAACCTTCCAGGCATAAAAGAAAACCCATCATCTGCAGAAAATGTGGTAAATTTGGACATTGCTTTAATAAATGTAGAACCAAAAGAAAGATTAATAATTTAAATATTGATGAGGGCCTTAAAAGGCAACTCTGTCAGGTTCTCCTAACCTCTAATGATGACTCGGATTCCTTTTTAAAAGAAGCTATTAATATTATTGATGAAGCTGACTCTTCTACTGAGGAAGAATTAGGCAATACTTCTAATTGCTAATGTGATTATTATAAATCAATATGTCTTACGAATGGATTAGAAATAAATACTCTAACCCAGGAAGAAAATATTATTCTGAATATTATTGACAAAATTGAGGATCCTGTTGTTAAAAGAGAAGCTTTACTTACTTATATTTCTAAGCAAAAACCCAATGAAGATTTTCTTGAATAAAAAGATGGTTATACTAAACCCACTTATGAATTTAAAAATATTATAAGTATGATGAAATAAAAGGAAAAATCAAGAGGAACTTCCAAAGATACCACTATGGAAAAATTGAAATATGAAGTAAACAATATTAAGTAAGAAATAAAACAACTTAAAATAAGAATTGAACAGTTAGAAACTCTTCATACAGGAGGAAATGAACCTGTTGTCTCACTTGTGGATGAATTTGAAGATCTGAATATCCCTTTAACTGAAAACAATCATATTTCTGATAAAAATCTGAAAACCTCAACATATGTCAATCTAGTTGATAAAGGTATATCTCAAAGATGGCATACCTATGTTACAATTGTTGTAAATAAAGAATTCAACTTCCAGACCGTCGCCTTAATTGACTCAGGCGCCGATTTAAATTGTATCAATGAAGGTCTTGTCCCTTCTAAATATTTTGACAGTACTACACAAATATTGAATACTGATGATGGTAAGAGAATGATAATTAATTATGAACTTTCTGATGCAGCAATTTACAATAATGGAGCCTGTTTTATACTTCTGTTTATAATTGTTAAAGGTCTATCACAAGCTGTCATACTTAGAACACCTTTTTGAACCTCTTATATCCAATAAAACTTTTAGACCATACAGGTCAGAATCAGAAATTGACGGTCATAAAGTAAAATTTGAATTTATAGACAAACCAAAAATAAAAGAAATAAATTAGGTTCAAAATCACCTGAAAAAGAAATAAAAATTTTTATTCTCCCTGAAAGAAGAAACAAATTATAAAATAATAGAGAAAAAATTAAAATCTTCTATTATTCAAAATGAAATCAAAATATTTTAAGAACAGCTTGAAAAAGAAGTTTGTGCTGATATTCCTAATACTTTTTGGAATAGAAAGCAACATATGGTGGAACTGCCATATGACCCAAATTTTGATGAAAAACATATTCCTACAAAATCCAGACCTATTCAAATGAATAGTCGATTATTGGAGATTTGACAAAATAGGAATTACTTTTAAAATAAAAAAGACAAAAGAGAAAGGAAAAATAGATAGACAATAAATAGATAGATAGATAGACAGACAAATGTGTATATAAAATATATACTATTAATATTAAAAATTGTTCTACTATAAATTATAATAATGATAATTTTACTACTAATAACTATACAATCACTTAATTACTTATATGGGCATATCTGATCGTTATAAAATACAAAATGTATTTATTTTAATTACAATGAAATTAGGAATAATTTTATATTTATTTTACCATAATTTATATTATTCATAAATGTCATAATTTTACCATGGCATGAATTATATACACTTACCAAATTTATAGCATCATCGAAATATTCCTTGCAAAAGAAACTTCATGACAGAAATTATGATTATAATTACAAAATTTACAATACAAAAGGTAAGCTTAACTTATAATTTACTCGATAATAAATATATATTTACTCATACAAGTAATATTAGAAATAGTTATGTAACGATTATTAATTATAGATTATAATTTTCAAAAATTATTAATTAAAAATATAACTATTAAGTTAAAATTATTAGCAAATATTAACTAAAAATTATGGGTGTGGTTTCCAGAAGGTTGCAACCTTAAACAATCCAACTAAGGTGCACCTTCAAATTTTATCATAATATATAATTTTGATGTAAAATGTTATTAGGATTATCTCAAAATCCATTTTTATATCAAATTATAAAATTTTAAATTCCAAAAATGGTTAAAATCAAGTAGATCTATAAACATATGAAAATCTTGAAAATGGACGGTGTAGATAATATGTTGTAAGATGCACTATTTCTGAAACTCAAAATCTTTTTACTTTTCATGGTCATACATCTCGATGTCGAGATGATCAATCAAACAGTTTTTCAACATTAAAACAACCTTTTTCGATGGATTTTTGAGGTGCATCCGTAGTTCTACATTTTAAGGTTGCAACCTTATATAAACTTTTTCCAAAAATTATTACTTAAATCAACAAAATATGATTTCTAACTGAGTATTACTATATAGAACATCATATGGGGGATATATCATCAAATAATACTAATTTAAGTAAGGGATTGTTTACAATGAGACCATTTACCTTTGATACAAGGTGGTCATAATTCCTTACAACCATTTGATGTGAAATTTGATAGCTTGGATGTGTCGTAAAGTTCGAGAAAATGTCTTTTGAAGTTTGAGCTTGGTCAATGGAATAATTGCAGCCACTCAATTTCACATCCAATGGTCATGATTATTGTGAACACATTGTATCAATACTTTCACTTTTAGTAATATTAAAAGTAGGACCCGGTTTCTATGCGACCAAGCCAACATATGTAGAAATGCGAGCCTATTAATAAATCTATTTTTGAGATGGATTTTTGGACTTAATTTTTAAGAACATGTAATCTCTAACATGGAGATCATGAATATGAAAAAATAAGTAAATTTAAAAAACCAGAAATAATAATTTTAGTAAAAAAACATTTGGACCTTTAGTTTCCATTGTTTTTACATGAAACACCTACTTGCATCCATCTTTAATGCTTTACACTTTTTGAAGAGCATATGTAATCATGCGGTCTAGACCGCATGAGACAATTTTCCCTAAAAGTAATGGAATAATTATCCTATAATTATTAATTAAAAATTATAATTTCAAATTATTATTTAAATTTATAACATTTAACTAAAATTATTGGCAAAAGTATTGAATAAAAAGAATGCATGATTAAATATAAAATATGAATATTATTTATGAAAAATAATAGTTGCAGGTTACCATTTCAAGAGGATTCTTTGAAAATAGTAAGCATACATAATATTGAGAGAGAAATTCTTTAAGAGAGATTGTAGAGAGCGAGAGAATCCTTTGAGAAAAAGAGAGGGAAAGAGTATGGAAATGTCTCCAAAATAATAGAAGGAACTTAAATTTACATGTAAGAAGGCATGCATGTTAGGGGAGGGGAGCGAGAATAAATATTCCATGAATATAGGAGAGAGATAAAGATGAAAGAGTGGGAGAGAGAATCCATTGAGAGGGAGAGGGAGATAGAAATATGGATAAATAGTTGGAAAGAATAAACCAATAAGGACAAAATGGGTATAAAATTAGAATTAAAAGTACAAAGTTGAAAAATAAAATGGGCACTTAGTGAAAGAATAACTGAGGTCCTCCTCTTGTTTAATATATAATAGCTATCAAGGAAAAAACTAAAACTGACGATAATCAATGCAGATACAATATACAAATCAAGTATTCCATGAGATATATTGTCTCCGCATCAAATAACGAAGATCAAATTCTTCTAGTACACAAACCCACCGTGAAAACAACATTACATAAAACAACCATGAAAGGAAAAATCTTTTTTTTTTTTTGAGGAAAGGTTAACTTCATGAAAGGAAAACATTAAGAAAATCTTTTGTGCAACAAAGAGAATCAACCATTACTTGGCCTTTTCTTTTAAAAGTCAATCGTTACTTGGTCTTTGAAAATCAAGAAAGAAAAATCACATTAAGATGATACAAAAGTAAAATGATTGGCATGATAATCAACAAAATAGATTGCATCAATCATTATGAAAATTCGTTGTTCTCATTAGATTATAGAATCATTCAATCTTTTAATATCAAGAAGAACTTAAATTGCTTACATAAGTTTCTTCTTCCACTAAAATGTGAATTCCAAGCTGCATCCTGCACAAGGAATGTAGGTCACAAACAGCTACATGATATCCATCATTAAAACATCAAAAAATAACTTTTTCCCCCCCTACAAATCAATACAAAAGTAACACTGACGCACTTCAGTTTTGTAGCTCCCATCATTCTTACACAATACGACCCATTGAGTACAAAAAACATAATAAGTCTTTTTTTTTACTTTATTTTCTCAAACAAATCACATGAAAAATTATAGGAAGGATATAAATGGTAATTTGATATTTTTATATGTAAACACTAAATACTAACAATCACATTTTATAATATTATTATACTGCTGCCAATTTCTAAATGCCATTTTGAATTAAATGATTCAATTTCAGAGACATAGCACACAAAAGAACCACCAATAATCAAAAAATAACATAAATATAATATCTCTATGATATCAAACACAATAAATGCAATTTTGAAATGCTATATAACATTTTGATCCACAAAACTAAACATCTATTGCTCAATGAAACACTCAAACTCAAATGCATATCCATTCAGAAAAGACATGCAGAACCTACCAATCACGAGAACACAAAATGCACACCTAAATTTCCACCACCATCATCACCATGTGTCATCACCATGTGCTAGTATGGACCTTGATAGAGTATAATATTGGACAAGGACTCGTGTGGCCGACTCCAAATAGTTGGGAAAAAGCTCTAATGATGATGATGGTGAAAAATAACCATGTTAAGGTGGGTCCCACTCTCTGTCTCAATAACCATCCAACCTTTACATTGGACAGTGATGACCCTCATGCCACCCATGCAGTCACATGGATTACATGACACCCATATAAATTTAGACACACCATGTAAAGGAGGGAGTTCTTATTTAGAACCTGATCACCCACTGTGGCCTTTGTTACCAACACAACAGAGCCATGAACCTTATATACACATGTAATGCCTAACCATATCACAGCAATCACTTCATTCAAATTAATATGTTCCAACGATTTACTCATCCCCCAAGTCAACCTCTTGCCAAGTAAAGGCCCCTCTCTTCATGTTATTCTTGTCCAACATATTTCCCAACATCATTTAATGATTAATTTTTTGTGCAACATCTTTTTATGATTAACTTATCAATAATTAAGTGATATGACAAGGGCGCATAATACAGGTCAAGTTACAAAGGATGGAGGATAATCTCAAACGTAACACTATCCCTCTTGAACTAGGCTACAGAAACAGCATCATCATTGACTTCCATGTGAATAAAGAAATCTCTAGAATCTTCAAACGTGCCTTTAAATTACATAGAAAATCCATGTCGCAACGTGTAGATTGCATAAAAAATATGAAACTTAATCATTCTATTTGTTAAAAAATCCAGAAGAAAAAAAATCACGACAAGCTACTGAAGGAAAGCAGCAAAATTATACAAGCAAACCTGACCAAATTGAAGCAAGCTGTGGCTGTAAAGATTATATGTGACTCCTGACACTTTCACCGTTCGAGAAAACTCCAATGGAATTGGTTCCCTCGGAACAAAAGTGACCTGCAGAATAACAATTCCGTCGACAAAACATACAAGTCCAACTTTATTCTTGGCCAAAACAAACATATTCTATAATGGCTCAAAATTCACCCACAGGCAATATATTAGAGACAAATTCCTGAACACTGTTAAGGCAAGGTAGCATGAAGCTTAAAGAGAAAAAAAGGTTGCCAGAATACAACAATAATCTCCATTTTCTCTATATGAATATTTTCTGTTACATCATTGCCTAGAAATGAATGGAATAGATTGCTCTCTGCAGAAAGTCATATATGAAGAGGAAGGACGGGTGGAAAAAACATGGACAGGAGACAGGACATATGGATTCATGGATGGGCAAGTGGAACATATAAAGAAAGAGATATGATAAATAAAAGAAGTGAGAAACTGTGGTGATATGTTTCAAGCACCTCGGAGCATGAAATGGCACTAATATCGAAATGTTACACCAAATTAAATGCAGAGTTTGACCATTAAAAGCCTCAATTCATGTAAGATCATACTTGTGCATCAGTTTTTAGGCAAAGAAATCACAGTAAACAATCAAAAAAAAAAAATGATAAATCACATATTACAAGCAGTTCACCATGATATGTGGAATAAAACAACCAAAAAACTCGAAATTTACTGAAAACTCCGATAAAAGCATCGCAAAAAACACAATAAATTATACAAGATTTCTCCCCTCTGTTGATTGTGAGAACATTAATCTTTGAAAAAAAAAAACTTATTCATAAAATTTAAACAACATTTTCATGCAGTGTGAGTAACATTAGGGGAACGATAATAAGAATCCGTCAATCCATAGGGCTCAATAAGGATAGCAAACAAACCTCAGTAGAATCTTCTCCAAGTTTAATTATCCCTGTGGTCCTCTGAGGATCCCCTCCCAAGGTTCCGAGAGCATAGTTTGCAGCAACCCAAGTATAAAGACCTTCATCAGGGCCTGCACCAGGACCCTAAAAATCATAAGGATCAACGTGTCACAAGAAAATGCAAGCTGCAAATATTTCTGGAAGTCTAAAAAAAAAATGCATGAAAAACTTGTGATCGCATACACATGTTAAATAAATGAAAACCTTGTGATTGCATACACATGTGAGAGGTTTTGGAGCTTAAAGAACCGAATTAAGCCCCAAGCATGTGAGTGATCAGAACTTCCCAAACATGTACTTGAAGCCCTAAAAAATTTCAATCTGGAGAAGGTGCCTTACTTTGTTTTTTATTCTAAAGGCAACAATGATCCTTTCTGAAAGGGACTCCAAAAAGCACAGTCTTACACAAAGTATCACCACTCAATTTATGAAGCATTTGTGATACACATATCATATAACTATTAACTTCATAGATACAGACCATAGGCTTTCCCTGTCACAATATTTCAGAGACTTTCTTTTATTCACTCCATCTACTATTTCCTCTCATTAGTTTCTGTTTCTTTTTGATAAGTTCTTTCTCTTCTTTTTTGATAAGTACTATTTCACTAGAGTTCTTTTTTCCTTTTTTTTTTCTTTATTTTTTTTTGGGGGGGGGGGGGGCAGGGGGCATGGGATTCAAGCAACCTTGCAAGAGGATCCACCCAAGCACTCTTTCCAACATCCAACCACCAGCACTCAAATATTCCTTATAATTTGTCAAACCACTCACATATTCCAGCTTCACTTTTTTCCTATAACATAAAAAATACTAATTTTGGCACAAATTGTCAATATCCATGCTTAAAGTTCAAGTTCTGGAGTTATTACCAGCAAACACTCACGTGAGGTATCATGTAATGTTGCTACCAATTCACAGTACTTGGAAATTCATGGCGCCTATTAAACATTGTTTAGGGTCTGTATCTGTCCATTAAGAAACATGCATTCATACATTTAAAAATGTCAAGATCTACTCAATGTTTCAGGTCAATAATGGATTAGCAAAACTCATCTTTCCATGTTTATAGATACCATAATTTTAAGACAAATTAATTAACATACCCTTGTAGTCAAGTTGAATAAAGGAAAATTCTTTACAGTAATAGAGCCCCATTTTAAGAACGTGAATCAACAGAGACCAATGCCATACGAAGCTGTTTTCAACTTTCAAGCATCTCCCCATGCACATTATTCAGTATCTGTCCCTCACATCTTCAAGTTCTCACACTCAAAATTATTTTGATGTCTACTTCTAACAGGATCACTTGAGAGACTATTTTGTTAGTGCATATTCACATTCAAGCCCTTCAAGGTGGTCCCCTAACACACCTCTGGATTCTAACTGAACTAATCTCAAACTATCCTTAACAACTTACCCAAGTAATATCTGAAGTAATATAGAGGGTGGGATGTTCGAGTATACAATACTTGACTTGTGAATGTAATTTAAAATTTTACAACCAATATATAAACATGCAAAGGACATCCACAACTGTTACAAATACATGACAAACTATTTGTAAATACACTTTCACAACTGTTACACTTACAAAGTACACCAACTTTTGACTCTAATATCACTTGAAAAAAAATACAACCAATACATACAAATGAAAGTGCAAATACACTTCACAGCTGTTACACTCACAAAGTACAACAACTTTCGACTCTCATATCACTTGAAAAACTCAAAATTACAACTCAATGAAGTCCCTACATAAAACCTCAAGCACTCGCTGTATAAAAAAATCAAATTACAAGCACTCTTACATAGACTACACATGTAACTTTGCCATCATCGAATACACATCACTAACAACACAAATTCAAAGCTCAATGACTCACAACTATTATGAACTTAAAACCACAGTGAATAGAGTACCAAAATTGCAAAGGGGAGCCAACAATTGAATCCTTAATGCCCGGATTACAAATTGGATCTTTTAGGAACCTACTATTGTCCCATAGATGAAAGCACGGATGGCTCAAACTCAAGGGCCTACTCACTCACACCAATGGGAAGCTTGAAATCACTAATTCACCACTTTATATTGTCCAAAATGAGAGAGAGAGAGAGAGGGATGTAATTTTGAGGCCCAAAATGGTTTGGTAAAGCTTAGAAAATCAGCTCATAAGAAACACTAGTTATATGATAATGTAGTGAAGTATATAGTTGCATAACATCATACACTTTTATCCAACTCCAATCTCCAGCTAATAATGATTAAAATGCCATGAATATTCACTAATATTTATGAAAATAAAGTTCCAAATCTCGTAAAAAAATAAACAGGGGTTAAAGCTCAAAGGTAAATAGTGTCTAGTGATAGAAGGTGATGACTACACAATGTATACTTCAAAGTATACATGCATAGTATGAGGACTATAATGGGTCACCAAAGATTAATGAAATGTAATTAAAATATTGTTACAAATGATGAATTACAACAAGGAAATAAAAAGGATAAGGCAAGAAAATGAAAGAGAATGGATGAGGTGATTACCTTGAAGGAGTAGAACTAGACACCATGAGATTTGGCATACACCATCACTATGACAAGGAGGTTCGCCAAAGAAAAGGGAAGAGACTCAAGGAACGTAATTCTCTCTCTTATTTCTCTCTCTACAATAACTCAAAAGTGTGTAGAGAATGGGGGTGAGCAAGGGTATTTATAGCTGTGAGGTGGTGAGATATTTTGGGTGAGTCAATCCTAACCAATGATGTTTTTCATCTATGGCTCATGAGAAAACTTTGATCCTAGCCACACACCCATATCTAGCCATCAAGATCAATAGATGTGATTTGCACACCACTATCACTCCATAAAACCCTACCTAGATTAGCCATTTTACCAATTGTTCTTATCTCATAAAAGGTTTTCTTATAAGTCCTTTAACCATTCCATAATTAACCATAGAACTTTATTAAATAATAAAAAATCATAAGGGTAGGAGCAATGTCGTAATGGTAATTTGAAAAAGGTATTCCAACTAGGACAATATCCCATAGATTGGTCAATCACAATGTGTCATTTCATAAACTTCATATTGACTTAGCCAATGAGATAATGACACAGAAAAAGCCACTTTAAATTCATTTTCTCTCATGGATTAGGGTTTAAGCCAAAATATCATGTCTAGCCTTAACCCTTGGCATATGCTATTCAATTCACATGTGTCAAATTTCTGTGTGACATAATAATTTGACTTAAGTTATAAAATAAACTTTTACTTGAAACTATACAACTTAAGTGACCAAATAATATAATTCTAAAAACAAGACTCCCACTTGTGATGACATCATGATGTGTCATCAGTGTGGGGATGACATAAGAGCCACGTGGCCCACCCTATGGCCACTTGGGTGGCACGTGGGACCACCCCACAAGCTGTCCTTCCTTGGAATTACCCCCGAAAAAATTTAAAAACCACATTTTGGATTTTGAAAAAATTCCAAAAAAAATCTCAAAAATTCTCAAAAATTCCCAAAAATTTCCTAATGATTCCCCACCATAAATAAATATTTTTGCATCATAATAAAATGGGACAATTGGTAAATGAGATCTCTAAGCTTAGATCTAAGCATTTGAGTATTCTATTGGACTAGTCCAGAATGGTGGTCCACTTTATCTCATAATGACTCAATAGGCCTATGTTCTACAATTTATGGCAAAGACACATAATTTGGCATCATCAAAGTCAACCCAATCAAGCTTTCCATCACCCGATTTTCAATGGATTACAGGTGCACCCCTGTGGGATATATAAATGCTCATATACAGGGGTCCTCTCATGGCACATGTGCACTAGCTCTTCTTAGTTGGATCAAATATTAGAAGAGTGGCTTTCCATGTGACTGTGAGTGCACATGCCGTATGGTGGTCTCCTGTCAGCGTACGGACTCATGTCCCATAAGTCATGACCACCCCACACAAGGCCAATACTCAAAAATTACTCAAGTTCTTTTATTCTTTTTGGATCTCCTAGCCCAAGCCAATCACACTAACCATGAGGCATACTCATCAACATAGCCCTGACTTGGAGGTGACCCTCACACCTCCCCAAGAGATTTCTCTCTTTTAAATTGTAAAACGCTCATTGGCTCATGTACTCGAGATACATGAATATGAGCCCCAGTGCATCAAGTACTTAGATTCATTCTCAGTCACTCCCACTGAGTGAGAGAATCTTAGATTTAAAGCCTTGAAAGGCCATAAATCCAACAATATTTGCTCAGCTGAGGTTGCAAATTATAAAAGTTTTCAATTTCAAAATGAGTAATGATCCTATGGGACCCTCCCACACCCATGTGTGTAGGACCCTAAAGGATCACCATTAAATTTGGCACAGATCTCTAAAAAAGTCAAGTCCCACACCCATGTGATAACTTTTCTAGAGATTTGTGCCAAATTTAATGGTGATCCTTTGGGGTCCTACACACATGGGTGTGGGAGGGCCTCATAGGATCATTACTCTTTCAAAATTGTTTCAAATTTAGATGAAATAATAGGATGATAGTAAGATCGGCTCCAGCACACACAAGGGCAAAGCCAATAATCTATAGTGTATCATAATGCAACATGTTTAATGACTCAGGTTATGGGTTACTTTCTAAGACCTTCTCTGTCAGTCAGATACAGGAAATTTCACCAAAGTTCTTATCCAGGATTTTGGCCAACTCCCCCTTTATTCGACTAAGACATCAATTTCTCAAGACCCAATTCAGCCAGAAAAAGGGTTTGAAATCCAAATTTTTGTTTCACCACAACATAGATTAGAACCATGAGCCACAATGAGTAATAACATCATAATAGACACATATCACATGTCTCTAGATATCGACGTTCCATCTTTTCATCCTTCATTGCAATTGTTTGCAACAGACTAGCTGAGTAAATTTGCATAAGAAAACTCATACTGATCAGCCATAAACAGATGGTAAGAAAAACATAAACTATGAAAACCTAGTGGATTGACAGTTTACAGCCCACATTCTCAAAACAAAAGACTCTCATTCAATAATTTGCAGTCAATGACAATAATTCTCTCAATAACTTCAGAGACAAAAAGGCCCATAATTGATTCCATATAAGGATCATTGAACTTTAACAAACTTATTGCAAAAAGATTTACCCAAACCAATTATAATTGATGTCATCCTAGAGTCTTCAACTAATAAAGTGCCAAAGGCAATCGAACAAACTTCCAAAAAGAAGAAAGAAAATCAATAGCAATGCTTCCATTCATATATCAATAAAAAGAAGGACATAAGAAAAAGGAAACAATCATGTCATCAAGGATATGAAGCAGGCAACTATTAATAAATGAATTACACATTTAATTCTGTACAAACCAACTTAATTATACCAAACCACTACAAGTATTGCCATCAAAATGCTTCATCATGATGGATAGACAGAGAGAGAGACCAGTTAAAAAGGAGACCCACTCGTCTTGAAACTGGAACCCTGATGATCTCAACTTAGTCCTGCAGGATTCCAATATGAGTTCACCACTGTCACTTCCTAGCCATCGAAGCCCTCCATGAGCTATCAACTGAACCTTGGTAACACCCCAAACCTTCTTTGGAACCATTTTCCTTGCGAATTCCAAAAGCCCATCGATTGAATTCCCCATAATTTTAGGATTACGCTCAAAAGCTGATAACCCAGGCTTCACTGCAAAAGAATTTGAATGTTTTCCTTCGAACCCCATAAAAGGGAATCTCCCATCCACAAAGAACTCCAAGACATGGATTCGAGCCTCTTTGTAGCCTGCATCAATGATGAGGCCATAGCTTTTGGTATTGGGGGTGTGGTAATTCGATGAGAAATAGATCCCTCTGGCTATGGCTAAAACATAGAAGAAGAGAGAGAAGAAAATCATTACAGAGAGAATGACCCACCAGATCTTGGAGGAGACATATAGGTAATTTGGAGGCCTTGCATTTGGTGGGGGCAAGCTAGAGAAAGCGTGCATTCGAGGATGGACTTGGGTTTTGTGAGGTGGGATGTAAGGTACTGATAAACGAGACTGAAGGTTGGGGAAATCCATTATAGAGAGAGAGTGAGAGAGAGGGAGAGCAAATGGGTTTTAGAGAGAGAGAGAGATGGGTTGTTGGAGGATGTGAATGGGTCCAGTGAGAGCGAAGTGGTTTGAAATTTAAGAAGAAAATGGAAAAGGGATAAAGGAGAATTGGATTAAAGTAGCATTTGGAGTGGCTCTCAAAGAGTAAATCGACTCTGGTTCTTGCGTTAATGCCATAATTGGGGTACTCAAATCCTTAATGGAGTTCAGAAATGTGTACGAAATTATCAGAGAAATCAATAGAAAGAAACCCAAAAAAGAGACCGGAAGAGAGAGAGAAGAGGGAGATGAATTACCAGTGGGGAGAAAGGTGTGTGAAATTCACGGAGATGGGAAGATAGAGAAAGTAATAGACCGATTGGAAGAGAGAGAAAGAAGATGGATTCACAAGGGATCTGAAATGGGTTGGGAAGGGAAACTGATTCGAAATCTTGGCTTTGAATCGATGGAGAAGGAAGAGAGAAATTCCAAGCGCTTGGATCGAGGCGGGTACTTTCTCTCTCAGGATATTTATTTTTTTAACAGAAAAATTAACAAAAAATCAAAATTTATCAAAATATTTATTAAAGGGTGCGGTTTCTAAGGTTGAAACTTTAAACATTTCAATTAACGTGCACCTCCAAATTTTATCATAACATATAAATTTATTATAAAATATTTTTAAAATTATCTCAAAATTTATTTTTATAGTTAATTAAAAAAATTAAAATTCAAATGCTTAAAATCAAATAGATATATAAATATATCAAAATCTTGAAAATAAACGACGTAAATAATGTGTTGCAAGATGCATAATGCATTATGCATTATTTCGAAGACTCAAAAACTTCTTTTTTTCATATTTATACATTTCGATGTCGAGATGATCAATTAGAGGGTTTTTCAAAATTAAAACAACATTCTAATAGTTTTTTGAGGTGCATCTATTATTCTACATTTTAAAGTTGCAAAGTTATATAAACTTTTTCCTTTATTAAAATTTGGGGGTGGTTCGTATACAGTTGAATCCTTAAACAATCCAATTAAGGTAAGCACCTTCAAAATTTATCATTATCATAACATGTAATTTTTGGGTAAAAAATTATTGTAACCTTCTATATAAAACTCACATCTTTTACAATAAATATCAAGAAAATACCAAATTTATTTAAAGAAGGTTTGTTGTTTCGTTATAAAATCCAAAGTGATTTTAGATAAGGCAAAAAAGGCTAAATTTCCTGCTATTCCAATCAAAAATAATAATAGGTAGTAAGGTTTGTATAAGGCATCCTCCTTATATCCTTATATTGTAGACATAAAGCACACCTCTGAATTTGTTTGGAGTTATAGTTCTAGTGTCAGAAACCTTGTGATAGCTCGAAAATCTTTTTTTTTGTTGTAATTTTTTTTAAAATTTTAAAAAAAGTACAGATTGAGTAAATTTATAAACACTCGACAATCTTGAAAATAGACGGTCTAAACAATTTGTTAGAAGCTATATTATTTTTAGATTTGAAATGCTTTTTTTTTTTCGTACCGATATATCTTACGGTCGAAATGATCTAAATTGAAAGATTTTCTAACATTGAAATACTCCTTTTTAGAGAATTTTTGAGATACATCTTGATTCAAATAGATCGAGGTCGATACCTTATATAAACTTTTTCTAATAATAATTGCTAGTTTTAAATTGTAATAAAAAAATTGGGGAACTTACTTCAAACACCGTATATAAACTTTTTCTAATAATAATTGCCTAGTTTTAAATTTTATTTAAAAAAATGGGAAACAGTGGTGATCCTTCTTGAAATTATTTCAAGATGAGAAATTTATTGACTAATACATCGGATTGAGAATACAGTGAATACTGGGAGGCTGCATGGGCTTGATCATCTGGGTCTTTGCCACGTGTAAAATCAGAAGACGAATGAATTACGTGGCAGCATCACAATGGTTGACGTGGACCGGGTACACGTCAGAAAAGAGACGGAGACGGGCCCCTCGCGGTCGGAAATAGCTCTTGGCTTGGAGACAGCTTGAAGACACCCGTCACAAAGATATGCTCCCGAGGGAGTAAACTGTCCACTTACTCCCGCCGGTGAAACCTACTCTAAGATTAATCTTAGGACCCTTAATTTTTAGATGTAATTTTTCCATATGGAAAAAGTTTAGACAAGGGTAAAGCCCTAAACAATCAAATTAAGGTGCAGTTAAAAAATTCACTAGAAGAGGTTGTTTCAATGCCTACAAATCCTCAAATCGACTATCTCAATCTCGAGATGTATGGACATGAGAAAAAAAATGTATTTCAAGTCCGAAAATAGTGTATCTTTTAATGCATTTTTTTTTACTGTCAATTTTCAATATTTTTAATTATTCATAAGTATGCTCCATCCACATTATTTTTTAATCTTTAAATTTTATAATTAAATATGAAAATAAATTTTCAGACCATCACATATATTTTCAGCACAATAAACAACATATTTCTATACTATTTGAAAGTACGCTTTATTTTGATCGTTTAAGGCCCAGCTTTATACAAAGCGCATCCCTTCTCTACAGACTAATGTCAAACAAAGTCATAAATTATGCTATTCATGTACTCTTGAAAAATATACTATCTCAATACTGAATTGGGATCATCTAAGTTTTTGAGGGTCAGATCTAAGGGTTAGGAAACTAAAAATCCAATGCTTTTTTTCTGAAAATAGTCATATGTGATTCCAAATGTCACATTAAAAAAATATACCTCGTAGGCTTTCTAACCGACGGAACATATGTACACTATGATCCAGCAGATGGTGGGCCGGACTCATCCTCTCCCTAACCTTTTCCAAAGAAATAAAACCGTTTGACGTGGTCAATACCTAGCAAGGAAGCCTTCAAACCCAGGGAGCATTTGTAGTCTCTGGTCTTGCGGGAGCATAGTATGAGCGTTGGGCTTATCCTCTCTCCTCCCTATCTTACTAGTTTTGAATAATATTATACGGAAATAAATAAAAGAACCTATTTTGATGAGGCTGCGGCCTTGTTGAAATAAGTGAAGTCTCATCTCAAAACTCATAAAAATATGGAGACATTGAAAAACCTTCAAATCGATAATCTTGACCTTCTATAAAAAAAAGTATTAAAAAGTACTTAAGATTTCATCCTTAAAATAAATATATATTATAATATATCTAGAATGTTTATTTTGACCCCAAAAGTAAGTGTTCTTTCGTACTTATAATTTGTTGTGCATCAAATTTTATAATGAGTATTGAAAATTGATTTTAAAGCCACAATGGAATTTACATGTTCAATCTTCAAAGTACTTTTCAGACAAGGATTGACTTGTGGCCTAGTTTGCATATGTAGAAATGCGGGTTTGGTAATAAATATATTTTTTAAATATAATTTGATCTTAATTTTAAAAAAATATATAATATTTCATATGGTGATCATGAATATAATTATTTAAAAATAAAAATAATAATTATATTTATATAGAGCTGAGGCTCTAAACAATCAAATTGGAGCCCACCTCAAAAATTTCACTAGAACAGGTTATTGTGATGCCGAAATATCATCAAATTGATCATCTCAACATCAAGATGCATGGACATGAGAAAAAAATGGATTTCAAGTTTCGGAAATAATGCGTCTTGTAACGCATTTTTTGATTGTCTCAAGGTTTTCATAGATATGCTCGATTTACACTGTTTTTTAAGCTCTAACTTTTATAAAATTAGATTTTAATGCTATTACAAAGATTTCCACATTTCTTGATACTATTTGAAGGTGCGCGATTGTTCGGAGCCTTGGCTCTATACAAACCCTACCCCAATTATATTAAAAAAACATTTGGACCCTTAGTTACAATGGTTTTTAAGATGGATACTTTATACCCCTAGAGGTTACCTCTAGACCGCATATTGCAAAAATGCGGTCCCAGAAACAATTGTTCCTATTGAGTTGGAGGGGGGACTACAGGTTTTAGGCAGACCCGCAGGAGTATCCATGGGCAGGTCATTTTCCCAATAATAAATAAATAACAACCTTCCCATTCTTTGACCAATGGGAAGACAAAAACGTATTTGCAGGACGAGTGTCCGAAGAGAGGGAGAGGAAGAAGCGGAGGACAGAACGAAGAGCGTCGGAAGAGAGAGGGAGAGGAAGAAGACGAGGAGTTTCAGAGAGAGGGAGAGGTGGCGTCGCGGCACGGGACTGAGACTGAGACTGATGCTAGCTCGAGACTGATCTTATTTCATAAGTAATGTTCAGAAAAATGAGCGAATAACGTTCTTTCAGGTCTATTCCTACTTTTCCATAAGATTGAACCAACAAAGAAGATCGCACTTTCTGGTAATTGAGATCCTCGTAGGGAGAGGGAGAGGGAGAGGTGGCGCTTTTGTCGTGGGAGAGGGAGAGGGAGAGGTGGCGCTTTTGTCTCGGCAAAGTCGAAAGATCGCACTTTCTGGTAATTGAGATCCTCGTAGGGAGAGGGAGAGGGAGAGGGAGAGGTGGCGCTTTTGTCGCGGGAGAGGGAGAGGGAGAGGCGGCGCTTTTGTCTCGGCAAAGTCGAGAAGAAGAGGTAGAGTTTCAGAGAGGGAGAGGGAGAGGTGGCGCTTTTGTCACTGCAAAGTCAATATGGCTGACAATGTGAAGCAGTTATTGGTAAAGCCCATACAATTAGCGGATCTCGTTTCGAAGGCGGCCGAGGACACACAAACGTGCAAGCAGGACTGCCATGAGCTGAAGGCGAAGACCGAGAAGCTCGCCGCCCTCCTCCGGCAGGCGGCAAGGGCCAGTGCGGATCTCTACGAGCGCCCCACCCGCCGCATCATCGACGACACTGAGCAGGTGCTGGAGAAGGCCTATGCCCTTGTCTGTAAATGCAAGGGCAACGGCCTGGTCAAGAGGGTCTTCACCATCATACCGGCTGCTGCCTTCAAAAAGATGTTTGCTCTGCTTGAGAACTCGATTGGGGATGTGTCGTGGCTCTTGCGGGTCTCGGCGAGTGGCGAGGATAGAGGTGATCTGGGGCTCCCTCCTATTGCGCAGAACGAGCCAATTCTCTGCCTTATTTGGGAGCAAATCGCTACTTTGTTCACTGGATCGTTGGAGGAGAAGGCAGACGCCGCCGCATCTCTGGTATCTTTGGCTCGGGATAATGATCGCTATGGGAAGCTTATTATTGAGGAGGGGGGGGTTCCCCCTCTTCTGAAATTGTTGAAGGAGGGGAAAATTGAAGGCCAAGAGAGCGCAGCTCTGGCGATTGGACTGTTGGGGCGAGATCCGGAGAGTGTCGATCACATGATACATGCCGGCGTGTGCTCAGCTTTCGCCAAGCTTCTGAAAGATGGGCCTATGAAGGTCCAAGCTGTGGTGGCCTGGGCGGTCTCTGAGCTTGCCGCCAATCAACCTAAGTGCCAGGACCATTTCGCCCAAAACAATACAATTAGGTTGTTGGTGAGCCACCTCGCCTTTGAGACAGTGCAAGAGCATAGCAAATACACGGTTGCGGCACCGCAGAGGGTGGGAGGCATGTCGATTCACTCGGTGGTCATGGCGAATAAGGTTGTCAATGCACATGAGGACCACGGGGATCATCACCATGACCGTGGCCATAGTATTGGAAACCACACCCCAGTTCATCCGTCCTCTAGTCAGTCTCGAATGCATGCTCTTGTGTCTAGCACCACCAAAACGCATCACCAGAACTCGTCATCTTCATCTTCGTTAACCTCGTCGAATGGGAAACAGGGGTTGTCGCTGTCAGGTGTGAGCTTAAAGGGGAGAGAGTATGAGGACCCAGCGACTAAGGCTTCTATGAAGGCCATGGCTGCCAAGGCCTTGTCGAAATTGGCCAAAGGGAATGTGGTCATTTGTCGAAGTATAACTGAATCGAAAGCCTTGCTCTGTTTTGCTGTTTTGCTCGAAAAGGGCCCTGATGAGGTTCAGAAAAATTCGGCTATGGCTTTAATGGAGATAGCTTCGGTTGCAGAGCAAGATGCCGAGCTTAGGCGGTCGGCCTTCAAACCCAATTCACCAGCCGCCAAGGCAGTGGTTGATCAATTACTAAGAGTGGTTGAGCAAGCTGATTCCAATCTATTGGTCCCATGTATCATTGCCATAGGTTGCTTGGCTAGAACATTTCAAGCTCGAGAAACCAGGGTCATTGGTCCTCTGGTTACGCTTTTAGATGATAGAGAAGAGAAAATCATGAGAGAGGCAGCCATTGCGTTGACCAAGTTCGCTTGCACGGAGAATTATCTCCATGTCGATCACTCTAAAGCCATTATAGCAGCAGGTGGAGCCAAGCATTTGGTTCAATTGGTGTATTTTGAATCCATGGTTCAAACCCCATCTCTTGTTTTGCTCTGTTACATTGCTCTCAATGTCCCTGACAGTGAGGCTCTTGCTCAAGCAGAGGTTTTGACTGTGCTAGAACGGGCTTCAAAACAGGGGCCCAGGGTTCAGGACCCAATACTGGATGAGCTTTTACCCGAAGCTAAAGGAAGGCTTGAGTTGTACCAGTCAAGGGGG